GGGCTCGTGTGTATAGGTCGGCTGTATTTGTGAAAGTGCAATAGAATGTGGGTGATCTTGGTGGTGAAAGAGGAGTCAGACGAGTAGAGTATTTAGATGGGGAGAGAGACGTGGGAAATAGTCGGTGTGAGAAGGGCTTTATTTACCTATTTACTTGCTCAATATACGTACATATCGAGGATCTAAAAACGGGAAATTTTTTAGTCGGACTTTGGTAGATACATATGGAAGGGGATACTTCAATGAAAGGCAGTACTCCGTATTACTTACGGGTACCAGATACCTTTAATTGCACCCTTAATGTTTTTTGTTATTTTTTTTACAACTGACACCAACACCGATAATATCCTGCCCACAGTCTAGACATCTACGCTAAGGTAGGTACACTCGGTGAAAGAGACCCAAGGCGGGGGAGAGCAAGTTAGCTAAGACATAAGTAGCCAGTACCTGTTGCTGTAGTGGGGTTCTAGTAGTCTAGCGCCCCTTTGTGACCTACGATATAGGTACCAAGGTACCCGGTATTACGGTTCCAGAACAAAATAGCGTGTAACGCCGGTGTGATTCCCCGAGCCATCAACTCATTACTCCTATCGGCCGTCAATTCGGAGACCGAAAAGTTGCGGCGGGATAGTGCTCTTCGGCTGCTTCCCCTTCTATCTATCTACCTAGGTAATTACGCCCAGATGAACAGAGCTTCCTCTTAGCTCAGAATCAACCCAAAGGTTAGTAGTCACGAAGCAACAATGCAAGTTCCGGCCTAGATATCGCTGCTGCTGCTGCTGCTGCTATGTGGTACCTTTTGTTTTCTTTCCCTTTAACGTTTACCTGTTGCTTACTATGAGCATAGTTTAGAACGGAGTTAGGTGGCTACCACCAATTACGTGTAATAGACTGTCCTATGCATAGGTAGGCTAGGTAATATTGATGCAAAAGTTATTCGCCCAAGCTTACATACATAATGCAAGTCTTACCTAGGTAGTAACTGGATGCAGCCTCAGAGTAACACAACATAATAAGCAAATAGCATTTCTCCGGAATGTTGATGTTCTCAGGAATTGTTATAGTCGTCCCCATAGCAGTATACTAAGCAATCATAGTTTATTAATAGAGAGAGAACTCCAGTATATACCTCGTTGCTATTGTCTTCTCTGTGAATGGTAGTTTTCTATAAAATCAGTTACGATATAACAAATCTATATACAGCATATACGCTCAAGCCTTTCCACTACCTACCTAGGTAGGGATAAAGTATACAGCAATCGGCAGAAACCATAGCTACCTACATAGTCAACCGCCCATGCAGGTCCGTGTAACATGATGCCGCCATAACAAGCTCTATGTGTTCTAGGATCAAGGCATTCGCTATCTATTTACGCAGTTCCCTAGGTGCATACGACTCTACCGTTGTTGCTGACGACTTGGATTTCATTCCGCCGGGACCCTCCCCTGCAGGCTACCATGGCATCTCAGGATTACGCTTTGAATCACATCGCATCAAGCGGAACATTGCATGTGCTGTAGCATTCTCGAGTTCGAATCATTTAAAGACCGAATAATGAGTCAATATAACATAATTATTACATCAACTCGTGTATCTGGTCAAGCTCTTAGCTCGCCATGTCCATCGCTCGCATGAATACCGATTAGCACCGTCTCATTTAGACTAGGTGGTCAGCACTATATAAGAAATGGCCTTATCGGCCAAGTTCTATATTGTGTTCTCATACATGGCAACCATAAAAATACCGAAAGGCGTGGTATAATGTTCGAGGCCGTTTGTATATATAAATAAGAACTAGTCACTCGGTTCATGATTTACACCTGTCTCTCCTACTACCCGATACGAAGGTAAGTGCAAGTTAGATAGCGACCCAAGTTGCCCGTAGAAGCTCGCACAAGCTGCCTCCTAGAGTAGATCCAACGCAATTCTAAATCCTTAGGCCCCCTCGAGCCAATTTAGAGCATAGATCTCATGTACGAGAGTAGTGTCTGGCCATATTAACTATCTGATGAAGCTCGCTTATTGTTCTAGTATTGACTACGTACGTATGTCGGGTCTAGTTGATATAGAATTCTAGAAATAATTGTACTCTTAATCAATTATCCTATCTAATTGTGCCTGAGCTACTCATCTGGAGAGGAACAGTCCACCTACTTAAATTCTTTTCTCGGCCGGAGAGATATATTTAACATCTCACTTAGCCGTTCGTAATTCGTATTATCGGCTGCATGAGGTTTACCATAAATGGTGCCGGTAGATAAGGACACCAGGCTTCACTCATATTTTGAGGTAATGACAATGCCGTGCGTTGAATCAGCATCTAAAGCCTGGCGCCTATACTCCATGGCCATGCCCTAGTAGATAGCCATTTAGAGAACATAGGCGCATCGGATGAGGGGGTGGCTTGTAACCAGAATCCTAAGTGAGGAAACCTACGGTCCACTAACTACACGAATATTCGCGTGATTTCCCGACTGTGACCTCATTTTTGACTATAAGGAATCAAACTTGCGTCAAAATTGGAAGGACTTTAAGAGTGTCGGGGGGCTCCGAAGGTCCTCTAGTCAAAGCCGACACTACCGGTATACATGACCTTAGCTTCAACCTCTTTTTGGAATTGGGATGGGGTTACTCTAAGACTGTATTGTTAATACATTGTTGACAGCGTCATAAAATCAACATGAGATCTTAAATTTTACGGTAACGTCCATCTTCAAGTTCCTCAGCGTACTTATTGTAAGCCGTCAATACCAAACACAAATATACCATGAAAACACCCGCTTCGGCATCTCAAGACCATGCGAACTAGAAGACGTTAAATTAGACAATGGGGAGCTGTAAATCTCCGAGTCTGTCCGAGACATTATCAAGGTAGTCTCTATGACATAAATAACTAGGGCGGAATTCAGCCGCCCACTACTAGTGCAATGATACCCCACGAACGGTCGTGCTAGTTTCATCTGTTCCAGGATCGGCAGGTGAGCGCCACGAAGCTTACCTGGATGCAGCCCGCGTGGGGACGACGAGGTACGCTGCTCTCAATAATGCGACTAGAGGGCCGAGAGGGCTTCCGAGTGGAAACAAGATCGTCCGGATCCCTGATTAGACCCTGAGCTACTAGCATGCTTTCCGCGATGAGACGTGCAGGCTGAAGGGAGATCGGCAGTCTATATGCCCCCTGCTAAGCTAGAGCTGGCCAGATAGGGTGTTGGTTACTACACAACACTACGGTCTACCTAGCGAATTGTAGAGTCGTTGGCATGCATGTTGATGCCGTTTTGTCTTTTATTCGCTCGCTGCCAGGTTATCAGGTGGGTTTTCATGGGTGCCATGGCATCATGGTTGCTGGACCGAAGAGCGAGTGACGTTAGTATAAAGTTGAGCCTCTGCCCCGGGTCGATAGCATGTTGGATCTCTACGGCCACACTAGTTCAGAATTGTAGTTTCAAGCCATAATCAATATGAAAGCCGCCATCGTTTCTCTCCTTAGCCTCGCCCACGGGGCCCTTGCCACGGTCCAGGGCTTCGACATATCTCACTATCAAGCAAGCGTGAACTTCGGTGCCGCATACAGCGCGGGTGCCCGTTTCGTTATCATCAAGGTGAGTGAGACTTACAGGCCCGAATATTCATAAGGACAAATCAGCAAAACTCACTCTACGAATAGGCAACTGAGGGAACAACTTACATCGACCCCAGTTTCAGCTCTCACTACACCAGTGCTACGAGTGCAGGCTTCATCCGAGGTGGCTATCACTTTGCTCACCTTGACACAAGCACCGGCGCCGCCCAGGCAACCTACTTCCTCGCTCACGGCGGTGGCTGGTCCGGTGATGGCATCACTCTCCCCGGCATGCTCGATCTAGAGGGAGACTGCGTGCTCTCAACCAGTGCCACCGTTTCCTGGATCAAGGACTTTAGCGACACCTACCACTCCAAGACTGGGGTTTACCCTCTACTCTACACCAACCCCTCATGGTGGTCATCCTGCACGGGCAACTCGAACGCCTTTGTCAACACGAATCCTCTCGTGCTTGCCCGGTACAGCAGCAGCGCCGGTACACCCCCTGGTAGCTGGCCATACTACACCATCTGGCAGTACAACGACGCCTACACTTACGGAGGTGATTCGGATGTTTTCAACGGGGATATGGCTAGTCTCGTCAGACTTGCCTCGGGCTAAAGCTTAAATCATGAGATGCTCTATATAGTTAATCTGCCCTAGTAGAACATAGTTTATATTATTAACGTGTGTTCCCTATTATACTGCTGGATGAATCCAATGACCCTAAAGACTAGTTGGACTACACCAAGCTCGGTAATAAGTGATATAGTAACCAAATCAAGCCACGTATAGCCAATCTACTTGGTATTATATAGACTAACACTAGCGGGCAACAAGATCACGCAGAATAGTACATGTAAACAGTCAAGTAAGCAGCTTAATATAGTAATAACACCTATTGAATTCTTGACCTCTACCAAGAGTTATCATATAGGGAAAGCAAGCAATTATTATAACAGGGCCCAGATGACAGCTGCCCTGTTGCTAACCGTGTCAAAGTAATCTACTCACTACACGAATGAATGGCATTGTAAAACCTCTTTTCTAGGCTTGTTGGCACAAGCATATATTTAATCCAATACTTCCCCAAGACAGGGATAAAATGTTAAAGATATAGACGTCATACGACTATTATGGCTTGCTAAACATATTATACTGCCGTTTATACGTAAATCTGTACTAATTAACTCACCCAGCCTTACTCAGCCTATTAGAGGTTAGTGGTAGACAGACTCAGCAGGTGCGTAGCAAACAATCCTCATGTTTCTAAACTCATCTAGCGATTTCCTTGGTGATCCACGCCCCTTCCCCCCTAATCCCACAACTAGTCACTGCCATAGCAACCGGCCCCCGGCCACAAGCAGCCAGGCAACCACTTATACCATCATACCGATACGATCATCCAACAATCTGATGTTTGGCATTAGAAGACATGGTGCGTTAGGGAAGTGGTTTATCCCGCTTCATTCGGGTTGGAGATGTCATCGGTTCGAATCCGATACGCACCCTGTTAACAGAGACAATGTCAAACATTTTTTTTCTAGTCGTTTCCTAAATATTAAGACTCTCCAAGGCCTGCCTTTTATGATAAACCTCAGTATCTCTTTGTAATCCTGTTCTACCTGCACTTGAGAACAACATCAGTGAGCTTACACACCTTTCCAGTCGAGGAATCAGTAGCAACAAGGGCAAAGTGCATTGTGCATAAATGTCATCTGTGAGCCTTTGCTTGTTGGCGTTGCCTTCAACACATACATTCACATATAGAACGAAGGTAGGGCTTCTTAGACAAAAGGCCAACTTCCGATCTTGAGGTTGACTTACTCCTCTAGTTATAATAATATACATGTAACAACATCAAGGTAAATAGTACAACATTAGCATTTGTAATGAGGAGGGTTGATGTAGAGAATGGATTTACTAATCCTTGTTGCTGCTAAATGGCCATTGAAAAAGTCACAAGACATACAACTCGAAGTTGCAATTACATAAAGTCAATAACTTTACAGCTAAACATCGCTTCCTTCAAATATTAATAGTATATGGATTCTAACTTTCATCTCAACTTTCGTCTCTCATGTAAGCGAACACTTACATATCCTTGGCTATCCCGACCGACGTCGGCCCCGGTCCGAACGAAGTGGGGGTCGCGGATATAGTTGGAAAACTCAGTCATCCAATAAACAACCTCCGGGCACAGACGAGAAACGCAAGACCAATACAATTTGCTACCGGGGCTCCAGAATACCCGGTCGGAATAATACTAAGTAAGGATGGGCTACGGCACGCAAGACAACGGAAGCGAGGGTGGGCCGGGAGCACGGCGCCATGAACCAACCACGTCTTCGAGCTCTACCACTGCTGTGTCGCCGCCGGTATTACGCGCGGATAGCACTGATGACGTTGCGCCTAGTAGTAAGGCTGGCGGGTATCTCCAGAATCCGCATGAGTTCTACGAGAGGAATTTCGGACTATTCTTGGTATTTTCGGCGCAGACTTTTGGCTCAGTGGTGAGTTCTGTTGTCACCCCTGCTTTCGACCCACGACACCTAGAAATCTCCGTATACCGCTTAACATGCCCTCTTTCTGCCCTCCTGACTAAAAAGACGCACCCTATCTTACGTATTGTTTATGCTGCCGTTATCCGCTGATTCTAACTAATACGCGGTTGTAGATGAGCACGGCGGCAAAGCTGCTCACGTCCCATGATTCATCAAATCAGTTCCATGCCCTGCACATCATATTCGTCCGTATGTTGGCGACCTTCATCCTGGGCACGGGATACATGTGGTATAAGAAAGTCCCCGACTTCCCTCTCGGGCCACGAAACATGTTCGGCTGGCTGGTACTGCGCGGTTCATTTGGCTTTATCGGACTCTTTGGCCTGTACTGTGAGTGATCACGCTTATTTTTCTCCCAGAGCAAATCAGCTGTGTAGAGATGGACTCCAACTAACCTTTCCCGCAGACTCGCTCTCCTACTTGGAGATTTCGGATGCTACTGCTATCTCCTTCTTGGTCCCGACGTGGACTGCTATTCTATGTTATGTCTGGCTAGGGGTGAGTTACGGCTGAACAGTGAAGAATCACGGGCGGTAGACTAATGGCAGCCAACAACTTTTCTAGGAGCCATACCGGACCCAAGAGGCATTATCAGGTCTGATCTCGCTAGCTGGAGTCCTTCTCATTGCGCGGCCTGCCTTTCTATTCGGGAGTGCGAGCCCAGTGACTATTCCAGATGAAAGAAATGCGACCATGACTATGTTCATCGTAGATGGTCCCCAGGAGGGATTGCCTGTGGGCGCCCCATCCTCACCACAGCGTACGCTCGCTGTTCTCTGCTCAATTATGGGCACGTTCGCAGCAGCATCAGCATACAGTACGATCCGAGTCATCGGTAAACGGGCACATTCCCTGATCAGCGTGAACTATTTCGCTGCGTTATCAACAGTCGGCTCGGGTTTGATTATCCTAGTTCATCCAGATCTTCACTTCTTACTTCCCAAGGGCGCCGTACAATGGTAAGTTATCCCAAACAGTTTTTCAAACCATATGAGGTGGAACGTGGAGCTGACCGGCGTAGGATCTTACTGGTTATCATTGGCGTGGCTGGATTTCTGTTACAGTTCCTCCTGACTGAGGGACTGCAGCGAGAGAAAGGTGGGAGAGCAACGAATATGACGGTAAGGCCTGATGACTAGAGTACGTTCGCTCAAATAACTCTCGCTAACTAGTTCCTTTCCCTTAGTATTTTCAAATGGTACTTGCGCTTATCATCGAACGAGTAATTTGGGGAACAACGCCTCCAGTACTAAGTCTCGTGGGGAGTCTCTTGATCATCGGTGCAGCAATATGGCTAAGTCTGCAAAAGGCTAAGCCTAGCGAGGTAAAAGAGAGAACTCCTGTTGTTGATGAGGAGACTAGTCTCCTAGGACCTGAGCGAAGGCAATCTTGAAGCATAGGTTGGTGCGGCATAATAGGATATGACATATGTACATACTGAGAAAACGTGTAAAGGATAGAGGTATCTAATTATGTGGCGCCATCAACGGAGTAAATACATACCATATGTAGTATATAGTATAAAATGTACAGAGACAAAAGTAGGCAACCTGGGTATCTAATCAATTTATTTCTACCTACCCTTTCGAACGAGGTAATTAACTCGGTGCAGTGTGGGATGGTAGAATGCTACGCGGGAGGACCCAGTGCAGTGGAAGTGAGTGCATGGATCCAATGCCAAGAACGTTCAATCATAGATCGATAAGCCAGCACCATCTAAATTTCTATGGGACCCTCCAAAGCTTCCAACGCCAGACCCTCAAAAACGGCCTTGAATATATACCTACCCGGCAGTGTGTGTACACGACAACACATCACCCGCCAAAACGACCCACGAGCCAATTGAAAATTATACGAAGTACTCGAATACACCGTACCGATCGAGTAGCGGCGACGGGAGAGATACACACACAATGGCGTCGGAGATTGCCGCCGGCATGCGAAGGGCGGCCAAGGAGATGCACGGCATCGTCGTGTCGGCCGGCCTGATGGACAAGACGGTGAAGGTGCGGCTAGGCGGGCACAGGTGGGAGGAGAGAGTACACAAGGTGTGTCTTGTCCATCTATCTATTTATTTGTTCGCTCGCATCAATCAATCCATCCATTTCCCCTCTCCCCCTCTTCCACCATACACCCAGATGACCCCTCGCAAACCACACCAGCTCCCAACTCACCAAGTACCTAGCTAACCCGTAAACCCCAAAAAATCAGTGGTTCAAAGAACCCCGCTACAAACTCGTCCACGACCCCCGGAACTCCCTCCGCCAGGGCGACGTAGTCGCCATCACGCCCTCGTGGCGGGAGTCGCAGCACGTGCGCCACGTCGTCAAGCACATCATCGCGCCCTACGGCGGCGTCGCCATCGACGCGCGGCCCCCGATCCCCACCATGGAGGAGCGCGCCGCCGAGCGCGCCGCCCAACGCGCTGCGAAGGACGAGCGCCGCGCCCTGCACCGCCGCATCACTGAGAATCTATTAGCCGCGGAGAGGCTCGCCATCCAGGCGAGGAAGGCGATCAAGATGCTGGGGGCGTGGAGGTATAGTGCTGCTGCTGCTGCTACGGCTGCCGATGCTGATGCAGCTAGTTGATGGATGGACGGCAAGTTGCATAGGTGCGCAAGGCTGAATGCTTGAGACTCATGATAATGCCCGTCATGAGCTGGAGAGAAGTAAATTGGCGTGTTAGGGGAGAAAACTAATCCCCTCACTCCCCTCACTGTGTCTCCCACCAACGACGCTACAAAGAATAGAAGGGGAGAGTGAAACGGATGAGTACGGAATGACAACAAATGCTATGTTCGTATAATAAGTTGGGCTGTCTACTTGACGTTACGACGACATACGGGCGAGTCTAACTATCCCACCATGGCCTTCGACTAGAGAGAATATCAGAAAGGAGGCAGAGAGGTAGTGACGGACGCCGGTGGAAGAGTACCGGGAAGTTCACTTGTATATATATGCCAACAATGTAACACTACCTATATACAGCACCACCTGGGGTGACCAAGGCCGATATTCAAGCTCATCGAATAAGTCAACGCTCGTTGACTCTGCCAGTGCTACCTCTAGGCGCCCAATAATCGTTCATTCGTTGACACCATATTTGATTACTTTGTTGAGCAGCGTTGGGCTGCATATCGGGTGGGCAGAGCCCCTTTTCCCTTCGTCCCCTAAAATTGCCAGCATGTGCCGAGTCATCTCATCCACCACGCTCCCCGAATTGTTTAGCCCAGTCCTCATATTCCTTGAGCCCTTCCCTATCCACACTGGGGCGAATGGTCCGAAGACTGGCCCGGAAATCTTCCAGTTCAATAGGCCGAATCTGGTCCATTGTCATGTGGAGGAGAGCTTCGCCGAGGGAACGGAGAGGGCCCATAGCAGCATCCTTAGCCAAAGCCGTTATATCAGAGCCGGAAAAGCCTAATGCCATATGGTTAGTCTATCAAATGCTAGCCTTCAGTCTAGGGGATTCCTACCGTCAGTTAAATCGACCAATTCCATGATGTCGGCATCTGTAAGATTGTGCTTCTGTTGGCCCAGGAGCGTCTTCAATTGTGTGGCTCTAGTCTCCGGCTCGGGCAACGGGATATACTGCCGCCTCACGAATCGACGTCTGGCAGCTTCATCGATCGCCCATGGTAGGTTGGTGGCCGCCAGGACGAGGACTCGGTTCGCGTCACCCCGATCCCTCGCGCCCTTAGGACTTTCCCGACCCGCCGCGGCTCGCTGTAAATCGCTCCACTGAATTAAGAATTCCGTCTTAATTCGTCGGGTCGATTCGTGATCTCCTGATCCCGATCTCTGTGATAGTAAAGAGTCGATCTCATCAACAAATATAATACTAGGTGCCATCACCTTAGCCAGTGCAAATAGAGCACGTACTAACTTCTCCGACTCGCCTAAGTACTTGCTCGTCAAACTACTGGCTGAAATAGAGAAGAACGTCG